CCCTTCCCCCTCCTACGGTCTATGGCCTCTTGGGCATGTTCCTGATGACGAGTTGACGGAGGAAGAAATAACTGAAGCCTGGTTTACAGATTGTTCTGGATTATATCCAAGTATCACTGGGCGCCACTTGGGGTTGATCCTGAAGGACATTGGTCAAGGAAAATTCTCCTGGTGGGTAGAACATTCAGCAGCAGGTTTAGCTGTGTGCTATCTAGACTGAGAGATGGCCAGTGGTACAGATGGACAGACACTAACTCATGTGTAGTTGCTAGTGGTTTGGTTGGATGGTGTCAGGGTTTTCCAGAAAAACAGAACCAATAGAACCTATCTATAATAAATGTTAGGATATATATTATATATATATATGACATATATAGGATATATATCTATTTATATAAATAGAATATATGTATTTATATACATATTAGGATATATGTATTTTTATATATATATATATATATATATATATAAAAAAGGAGATGAATTGGCTTACACGATTATGGATGCTGAAAAGTCCCATGATCTGCCATCTGCAAACTAGAGACCCAGGAAAGTGAGTGGTGTAACTCAGTCTGAGTCCGGGGGGGAGCTGATGGTATAAATCCAAGACCAAGGGCAGGAGAAGATAAGATGAAATGTCCCAGCTCAAGCAGTGAGGTGGGGGTAAGAAAAAAAAAGGAGGGCAAATTCCTCCTTTCTCCACCTTTTGTTCTACTCAGGTCCTCATTGGATTAAATGATGCTCACCCACACACTGGGGAGGACAATCTACTGAGTCTGCTGATTCAAATGCTAATTTTGCTTGGAAACACCCTCACAGACACACCCAGAAATAATGTTTAATCTGGGCAGCCGGTGGCCCAAGTCAAGCTGACACATAAAATTAACTATCACATACGGCTAGGGACTTGAAAGCAATAGGATTGGAAGATTGGTGACAACATCTGCGGAAGAGGCATACAGATGAACCTCTTGGGGTGGTCAGATTGTGAAGATAATTGTATCCGTTGTGAATGGCGACCAAAGAGAAGCTCTTAGTAATTGGGTGGACAAATCACATACTCTGTGAGGGTCAGTCTCTTTCCCCAGCCACCTCAGTGCTTGCTCAATGGGCCCATGAAAAACGTGGCCGTGGTGGTAGGGATAGAGGCTGTGCATTGGCTCAACAGCACAGACTTACCCTTACCAAGGCCAACCTGGCTAACACTGCTGCTGAGGACCTAGTATGTCAGCAACAGAGGTCAACATTGATCTCCTAATATGACCCCATTCACTGCGGGAATCAGTCAGCCACCTGGTGGCAGGTTGATTACATTGGACCTCTTCCATCTTGGAGGGGGCGGAGATTTGTCCTCACTGGAATCAATCTGATTCCTTCCTTGCCCCACAATGCTTCTGCCAGTAGCACTATCTATGGACTCACAGAACACCTTATCCACCATCATGGAATTTCCATAACGTTGCTTCTGATCAATGATTTCCATAGCATTGCTTCTTTCTTAGCAAAGGAAATGCAGCAGTGAACTCTTGGCCATGAAATTAATTCGTCTTACCACATACTCCATCCCCTAGAAGCAAATGGGCAAATTTTGAGAGGTGTAATGGCTTACAGAGGACTGAATTATAGTGTCAGTTGGGAGTCAACACCCTGAAAAGGTGGGGTGCTATCTTAAAGGATATTGTACATGCTTCAAAGCAGAGAACAATCTATGGTGCAATCTCCCCCCTACCCAGAATCTATGGGTCTTGGAATCAAGGGGTGGGAGTGGCTTGTCTCACTATTAAACCCACTAATTCAATCATAGAATTTTTGTTTCCCATCTTGGCTACCTTGAGCTCTGCTTGTTGGGAGATCTTAGTCCCCAAAGAGGAACTGCTCACCAGGGGACACACCAATGGCTCCAGGTAGAGAAGTCCAGTGAGTGAGGCACTCTGCCAGACCTTACAGAAGAGAAGAAAAGCATGACTGATGTGTCTGTGAGTCCGGAAGGAGAACTCTCAAAGCTGCTCACTTCTGGAAAATACATTCTGGGTAGTATTGGAAGAGTTGTGATTCTGTCAAGTTTATACAAGATAGAAAGCAGCCATGCGTACTGACTTATTTATTTGCTCGTCTAAATGGAAAGAAAAGTCAGGGTTTTAAGATCTGTAGGAGGGGACAAATCTTTTCCAGGCCTCTAAGGCAATTGAAGATGCAATTAAAAAGAAAAACTTTCTTACTATCTTGTCTGCATAAGTTATAGCTTAGGGCTAAAATAGAGCAGGGCTTCTGGTTAATACAAAATTAACATTAGTCCAATTACATACTCTTTTAACCATCACTGGTGATTATGCTAAGGTTATTACTATAGTCTGCTGATTTCTAGATAAAGGGCCCACTTGTACCTTTAAAACATTGCCTATTTTGTCTATATTCTAGACATGGACTCTGGAGTCTGATACTGGGGTCTGAGTCCTGGCTCAGTCCCTTTCTAGCCCTGTGATCTTGGGTAAGCCAATTAACTGCTCTGTGCCTGAGTTTCCTTATCTATAAAATGAGGATGACAGGAGCATCTACTTTTGAGTGTTGTCTTGAGAATTAATTAAGATAACATATGCAAAGTCCTTACAACAGAGCTTGGCCCATAGGAAGCAATGAATAAATGTTATCAATTGTTAATGTTGTAATTTGGCAATGCTTTCTCTAAGTCTGCTTGCCAGGAATATAAACCATTTTATATCCCTCTCTCCCTCTTTCTCTAGCAAAGCTGCCGAACACCTGCTAAATAACTGATGTAGACTGAATTGTGTCTCCTCCCCACCCGGCACACCCCCAAAGTCATATGTTGAAGCTCTAACCCTCAATGGGACTGTATTTGGAGACAAGACCTTTAATGATGTAATTAAGGTTAAATACAGTCCCCAGGATGGGGCTCTAATCTGATAGGACTGGTGTCCTTAGAAGAGGAGGAAGAGACACCAGAGATCTCTCTCTCTGCATGCACCCAGAGGAAAGGCCGTGTGAGGACATAGAGGGAAGGCGGTTGTCCACAAGCCTGGAAGACAGACCACACCAGAAACCAGCCCTGATGGCGCCTTGATCTTGGACTTTCAGCCTCCAGAACTGTGAGAAAATAAATGTCTATAGTTTGAGCCCTCCAATATTTGTTATGGCAGCCCGAGCTGACAAGACAATGATATTATGCAATTTTGTAATTCACACATTCAGTGAAAGACAAATGAGCAGGGCTGACATAGATTCTGATGTCATCTTTGAATACCATTACCTGTTGTGTGAAAGTCTGGTATTTACCACGGGCTGGTCACAGCAGGGAGTCTGTTCAGGACTACTGTCCACTTGATTCCCTCTAATGACAACTATTTTTTCTACAAAATTTATTGAGGCTCTAGACTGATTACTAGATATGCAGGGATTCGTTGTTATCTGTGAGGAGTTCTCACTCATTTCTTTCTGCTGTTAGACCCATCACAGAGGATTTTCTAAGAATGAGAATTTGGTTGACTGAGTCATTGATCAGACATGGGCTACTGTTGAGCCCCTGCCAGCTATAGCCTTCCATTCCCTCACAAGCTGGGCAACACTGGCTAGTATTCCCATCATTCCGCTTCTGGGGATGCTCAAAGCCCTCCCTCGGATGTCTTCTGATTCTTGGAAACTGCCCTTCCCACAGGCTCTCCCTCCCGATTCCCTGCCCTGCACTGGCTGAATTTGGACCCCAGAGCTGCCTTTCGAAGTCTTCATTCCCAACAAGCGTTCACGAATTTCGTTGTCCTACCTGAAGGTTCAGGGATCATTGGCAGAAGACTGGGGGATCATGGAGAGGTGAGGCCCCTCCTTGGAATTTTCTCTCTTGCTTCTCTATTCTCTTTTCTCCTCACCTTTCCTTCCACAATTCCCTGAGAACTCTTCTCCCTTCAGTACATAGAAGAATTCGGCTAGGTTCCAAGTCTCAAACTTGCAGAACCCTAGTTAATAATATGCTCGCAGAACAAAAAGCTTTCCTTTTTAAGGCAGTTCTGCGTATAAATTTTTATATATTTATATATTAAATTTATGTTTATTAATTTATTATAAATATCATATAACAATATGTATATGTATGATGATATGTAGATTATATGCATGATATTACATGTATGGTATAATAAATATATATAAAATATTGTAAATATAAATAAACACATCCTCTTTTTTCTTCTTACTACATTAGGAAGAATTAAGGCAATTTAGAGATAAAGGGAACTGCTGAGTTTAGAGATAGAGAACTGTGGAGTTCGGGTCTCAGATTCACTCAGTGACTTGGGAAAAGCTGTTTGGAATTTACATGTGACTTTATTTCCCAGGGGTAGGGTGTTTAGAAACTGGAAGTAGGAATTATGTAAATCATGTAGCTTTAGGAAAATCAGGGCAAAATGGCTTTCCAATCTTTTATCAAGGCTTTCCCGAGATTGTCATTAAATAGTAAGCAAAATAGAGAGAGAGAGATCCAAAAAAGTTTATTAGCCCACACTGACTTTCCTAGTTAACCTATGCGAAGGTAAAGTCAGATTTCATTTCTATGTATTTTGAGTCTAAATGAACTACACAGAGAACGTAAAAACGCACGCCGAGTAATCATGCAAACGAACAGCGATTATTTTAAGGAGGCCACGCGTTTGGAACATGCCTTACGCGTGGACAGCTTTGGCCCCGTCCATTAGTGGGGCGCTGGAGGAGGGCTGCGCTGCCGCCCCAGGCAGCGAACTTCTCGCTGCGCCCCCGCACCCCCTAAACACCCGCCGCGCGTCTCCCGAGCGCCCCGCGCGCCCCTGGTCCCTGTCCCACCCTCAACCCGGCCGCCTCCCCGCCCTCTCCCGCCGCCGCCCAAGCTCCAGTCGCGGGGGGCAGGGCAGGAGGCGGGCGGCCGGCCCGCCCCGCGACCCTTTTAAAGCGTCGCGGGCGAGGGCCGGGCATGGTGAGCCTGGCGGCGGAGAGAGCGGCTCGCCGAGCTCTCCGGAGCAGCGCGAGGAGCCGAGCGCCCAGGGCTGCGCTTCCCGGGCCGGCGGGGCGGGCGCCCCGGCTGCCCGACGCCTCCTGCGCTCGGCGGCCGCGCGCCCCCGCTCCTCCCTGCCGGTTCCCGGGGGTCCCCGCCATGCGCCCAGGCTAGTGCGCCCGGGGCGCAGCGCCGACCGGGGCCGCTCCCGCCGCCCGCTCCCGCCGCCGGCATGCTGCGCCCGCTGCTGCTCGCCGCGCTCTGCCTGGCCGGTCGGCTCGAGCCCGCCCGCGGCTGCCAGCTCCCCTCGGAGTGGAGACCCCTGAGCGAGGGCTGCCGCGCCGAGCTGGCCGAGATCATCGTGTACGCCAAGGTGCTGGCGCTGCACCAGGAGGTGCACGGCCTGTACAACTACCTGCCGTGGCAGTACGAGGCCAGCGAGGCGGGGCTCTTCTACTCGGCCGAGATCGAGATGCTGTGCGACCAGGCGTGGGGCAGCATGCTCGAGGTGCCCGCGGGCTCCAGGCTCAACCTCACCGGCCTGGGCTACTTCTCGTGTCACTCCCACACCGTGGTCCAGGATTACTCCTATTTCTTCTTCCTCAGGTGAGCCCGGCACCTCTCGCCCACACCACCCTCTCGGTCTGTTTGCGCCAGGGTCACCGTTGTCTGGAGCCAGGTTAGGAACTCGCACGGAATCCTGTCCGTGCCATGTTCGAATACGCCTTGGGCTCCTTCCCTCACTCTCTTGTCTCCTGCTCCGTCTGGCGTCTCTACAGAGATCTCGGGTACCTGTGGCTAAGAGAAAACGGGTGATTTCTGTGCTTAATGCACAGGACAGTGTTTCAGGCAACAGCTCAAGGTGGTTCCAACAATCCATTTGACTCATCTTTTTTTTGAAACTGGATTCAGTGGGAGTAGCTTGGGATGGTGGTCAAAAACCCCCCCAAGACTTTGAAATCGGAGTGTTGTTGGAGTTCTGACTCGGCTCTTCCTAACTGCTATTGAGAAAGTTACTGACCTTCTCAAGAACTTCAATATTCTCATCTTTATAATGTGAAAAACAAGGTTGGTTGAGACTGAAGCACAGTAACTCATGCACAACACCTGGTGCAGGTTAGATGCCTAACGAATAGTCACACACTCTTCTCCCCACCTGCTTAAATGCCAGGATGTGAATGGTGTGGAATGCAGCCCAGCTGTCCTTGTTTCACTCATATCAGCTGATATCAGTCTCATATCAGCTGCCAACAGACCTCAACGCCAGGCTATTCAAAATAGCAAGGGTTTATGAGGGGGCCTGCTGGGAGTAAGACCCTGAGTCACAATGCTTGGAAGTGTAGAGAGGTGAATCAGGCAGGAGGCCATCTCTGATTGGAGACTACTGGAATCTTGTGAAGTTCCATGAAAGTTGGCCTCTGGTCAAGATGGAATGCATGCGCGTAAGAATTCAGTCAGTGGGTTCAACTGAAGTTTGAAATAGAGAACAGCAGGTGGAACCCTAAATGCATTGGTTGTCTCCAGTGGAATTAGGAGAGTGATCCAGAGCAATGGAGAGAAACATCAAAATGGAATCTAACATGTATATCAAGAGAGTGACAGAATTCATCCAAGCTTGCGATTGATAGTAGTTCTAGTCCTCCCAATCTGCCAAGTAGCAATAAGGGTATTTGGAATGACCATGACCAGGTTCTGCAGATTTACTTTTCACTCTTGAGATTTCATGTCGCTCTGAGAAAGAAAACAGTAAGTTCCACAGAGGGGCGTTCATAAGCTCACGGCAACACATGTTTTCCACATTGAAGCCAGAATATCTAAGTTTAGAATACATGGTGTGCTTTGTGTTGGCTTGAGTGGTTTAGCTAGATTAAGTTGATTTTTTTTTAATTTCTGGGGAACTATAGTTTCTAAATAAAGTCAGTAAGGAGTGAGACACTGGCCTTCTTTGTGCAGAGAAACTTCACTCAGATTTTCATGTTTTTACTTAGGAAAAACACTGAGACCCCCGCTATAAAACTATTCAACAATGCAACTTTATTTTCCAAAGAAAAAAGAGCCAGAGTTCTTGAGCAGTCTCCCCCTGGACCCCCCGATTTTATCATGAAATACAGTTTTGTCCCCTGGCTCTGTGGTGGTCAGCCAACTCTTTCATCTTTTGCTCTGACATATTTACAAAAAGTTAGGGCAGAATTACAGAGTCAAACAATAGTCTGACAGATTTCCATTTCACAGGGCTGTGTTCCCCTGAAGTGTGTTAACAACTGCATACAAATCATTCCTCCTGTGTTATTCTGGGACCTACTGAGATGAGAACAGATTCTGGTCAGTGTCACAGAAGAAAGTGGCAGTGGAGACCCACCGTTGAGCCCTACGTGCACCTCTTGGGCTGCAGTGTAACTTCCATCTCTCGTTTTCCTTTTTCTGACTTCTTTATCTTTCCAACAGGCAGTTGATGCTTGGCTCTATAAAAATGTTAACTAATATTTATAGTGTACTCACTCTGTGCCAGACTCTTCATTTACTTTTTCTAATGCAACCCTTACACTACCACCAGGAAGTAGGGTGATATTATTATCCTTTTTACAGATTGGAATACTGAAGCTTAGAGAAGCTTCGAGATTTTAAGAAATTCGTTTCATGTCAGACAGAAGAGAAGTTACAATGATAGGATTTGAACCCAGGTCTTTACAATTGGCCTTCCTTTCACCAAGAAACACTTTAGGAGAAAGAAGGGCCTTTGGGAGATATACAACTAACAAACGCACCCATGCACACACTCCCCCCATGCCGTCACCCAAATTCATCTTTTTGAAAACCTGAAGGATAGACTCGTGTAGTATGAGGCAGAGAGGCAATTAGAAATAGTAACTCCTCTAATGAGAGCCATGCAAGGCATTGTTGTGTAATTGGCAAGACTGCCACAGTCTTCTAGGACTTTATTAAACCTGGTACACCCTGTGGTATCCAGTCTGCGTCTCTCCTTCTTTCTTCTGTTCCATTAGGATGGATGAAAATTATAACCTCTTGCCTCATGGAGTCAATTTCCAAGATGCCATCTTTCCAGACACTCAAGAGAACAGAAGGATGTTTTCCAGCCTTTTCCAGTTTTCGAACTGTTCCCAAGGGCAGCAACTGGCGACTTTCTCCAGTGACTGGGAGATCCAGGAAGATAATAGGGTAAGAATTGTCTGTACCCTGTGGCACAGCAAAATAATAGAACAGCTACATCTTGTATGAATTCTGTGATGAAAGGAGTCAAGAATGGTCTTCCAAAAGCCCAGGCAAAGAGTATTAGCCTCTCTCCCTCTCTTCCTCCCTCCCTCCCTCCCTCCGTCGAAGCAGTTAAAAAACACTGCTCATAAACTTTGGATTCCCAAGGCTTTACTATTTGGCATGGGGTGCCTCACAAAGTGAGGGAACAAGATGGGATGAAGGTTGGCACACTGTGCCTCAGTTTCCTCTTCTGTAAGATGCAAACAATAGTAGGATCCACATCATACCACTGATGCAATGTGATTTAACTATGTGAAACATGTAAGTAAAACCCTTAGCATAGTGCTGAACGGAGTAAGCACTCAATACATGTGAGCCTTCGTGACTGTTATTGTTACTGATAGCATAGGGCCCTAAGGAACTTTCTAAGAGGAAAGAGAAAGTCCTCAAGGAGATGAAATGATTGCTGTAACTACCACTTCTATGATTCTTAACAGTAGTTGCTGAGACATAGAAGTGCAGGGTGGCCAAGGTAGTTGTGGAATGTAAGGGTCAGGATAATTTTAGGGTATGAAAATATAGAAGGGATCTTCCAAACTGGGGCAGATGCCAGAGTTTCTGGGAAGTTTTGAGGATTCACAATTTAAGGTCACTTTCCCAAAGGAGTAGCATTGCCACAATCGAGCTGGGGTGATTGTGGGACCAGGTCCGTTGAGGCAGTGGCCCGCTACTCCCAATGCCCCATCTGAGATGGTTTTAGGGCAATGTGACAGGCTGCTGGAGAGAGCGGGGATGTGGGTGACTATGGGATGAGGACATTTTTTATGGGTTAATGAGCCAATTTGTATATGTTAAGCGGCTCCCTTCTTTCCACCCATATGTGTTGGGCTTGGGGGAAGTGTCTTGTGTCCGGGGGGTTGGCCTAGTAGTTGCCTTGTTCTTCCAAATCTCCTTATCGCCTGCCCAGCACTCCCTGGCACCTAGAGGCCTTCTTTGTGTTCTTTGCACAGAGACTGTTCTCTTGATGGGCAGGTATGTCCATCTAAGGAAAACTGTTTATTCTTCTTTGTGTGTGTGTTTGAGGAAGATTGGCCCTGAGCTAACATCTGTTGCTAGTCTTCCATTTTTTGCTTGAGGAAGATTGTCGCTGAGCTAACATCTGTGCCAGTCTTCCTCTATTTTATGTGGGATGCCACCACAGCATGGCTTGACAATTAGTGCTAGGTCTGCACCCAGGATCCAAGCCTGCAATCCCTGGGCCACCAAAGTGGAGCATGAACTTAACCACTGTGCCACTGGACTGGCCCCAGAATTGTTTATTCTTACTCCCTTGACATTACCAAGAGATTCCTTCCTTAGGCCTACCCTAGAGACAGCAATCCAGACTCCTCTAACCCCTTCTCCATGGCTTGCCAGAATTTTCGGAATGCTTGTCACATACAGATCTTCCTTGACTTGTGATAAACCCATCATAAGTTGAAAATATTGTAAGTGGAAAATGCGTTTAATACCCCTAACCTGCCAAACATCCTAGTGTAGCCAATCTACCTTAAACGTGCTCAGAACACTTCTATTAGCCTACAGTTAGCTAATCCTTAGCAAGATCATCTCACACGGAGCCTATTTTATAATAAAGTGTTGAATCTCTCAGGTAAGTGATTGAATACTGTACTGAAAGTGGAAAACATTGGTTGTGTGAATACAGCATGGTTGTAAGTGTATCGGTTGTTCACTGTCGTGACTGCATGGCTAAGAGGGAGCTGCCGCTGCCCTGCATCATGGGAGAGTATCTACCACATATTGCTAACCTGGGGAAAGATCAAAACTCAAAATCTGAAGTATGGATTCCACTGAATGCGGATCACTTTTGCACCATCGTAAAGTCCAAAAAACATTAAGTCAAACCATCGTAAGTCAGGGATCATCTGTTGTCGCTCCCAACATGGTTCCAAGCACCTGTTCTTTTCCCCCATAATCTGTCCCAGTGTCCACTCCCTACTGAACTGGACCTACGAAGTGAATACCTGAGTCCCCCAAGACTGAGTCACCCCTTAGCGTATTCTGAATGGAATCATTTTTGGCTCAGCCCTTTGGTTCTCCATTTTGTGGGCATTTTGCTTATACCATTACATCGTTGGTAACAATAGATTTATATCAAGAGATCGGATGTTATTCCAAAAATACCTGCATAGGTTAGCCCCCAAACTCTTCAGCTACATAACTTGTTAGCCCCATGTCGCACAATGAACCTATTAACATTTCCTTGGAATTAAATTTTCCAGCATTTGCCAAAAATAGAAGAGTAGGACCATGGAGAATTGTTTCAATGTGAAGCCAGTCCTATTTCTGGTGGTCAGTTGTTGATCTTGGGGAGAATTCCTTTTCTCTTTCCTTTTAATCACCCTGGCCTCTTAGATAACAAAGGGTGGGTGTGCTCCATTGCTCTGAGGGAAAGTCAAAAGCTTTGGGGGAGGAAAAGAATTACTCCAGATTGCTGAGCTGATGTGTAGCCGAATTTAGAAGTTAGATGTGATGTACTCCTTAACGCCTTGCTCCTTCTGTTGCTATCCCCTGCCCACTTTGAAGTGTGCCACATCAGAGCTAAGTTAAATTAGTTAGTTTAGAATTTAAGTTTAAATTTAATTTTAATTTCCTTTTTTGTCAGCTCCATGATTTACATTTTCTGATGCTCCTTGAGAAATTTTTACGGACCCTGGGTGGATTAAAGTAGTTGTGAATTGAAGATCTCAGAATTAGGTGAAGAATTATGGACGAATGCTTGTTCCCTTCTTCAAAAAAAGCTAAAAATTCACTGCTTTTTCTGGTGAAGGTGAGCATCATATTGTCTGTCCTACCCAGGATAAATATATCATGTTGTATCAGAAGCAGCCTGTATTTTTCCTATGTGGTCCTCAATCTCGGGAGGAATCAGAAGAGCTGTTCGGGTCATCTTTTTATTCCAGTAGAAATGGGTGTTAGACTTTTGTTAATCAGAACACATGAATCCTTCACGTGTTCTGAGTCCGTTATGAATGGCCCTGGACGTGGCATGTTACAGACCTTTTTTGTGTTACATGCCATGTCTTAGATTATAAATCCTGGAGGAATGTTAGCAAGTTCTCATCCTTCTCTCTGTTTATGCTGCTGTCTCTAAGCTTCCAGTCCGCTGGAATAGTCGATGTAGACTGTGCTTGTGAAAGGCACATTTCATTCTCTTCACTGATAATCTCGTTTTCTCCATCCTGGAGCATTACATGACTCTGGGGCCCCAGGGTTGATCTGGAGGTTAAGAAATGGAAGAGAAGGAAAATCTTATGTAGGGAAACTTTTGTGATTGCACACTCACTCGGTCCTCAGCGGTGACATCCTCTCTCTGGTTCCATCTTCAACTGTCCTACCCACACTTTAGTAAGTAGAAACACAATCTTGCTTTCAGAAGTTGCCAGGAAGTCAGCAGTGTTTGTAAGTGTTCAGCACCTCTCAGGTTCAGGGTTGTGGTGTTAATGGGACCTCAGGGGACGTCTTTGGCAAGTTGGAGCATCTACCAGATTTACTGGCAGAATTCTCTCCACACCAGCCAAGGACATTTTTCCTCCCTCTTTTCTCTCCTACTGGGTGAGTAGAACAGTCAAAACAGCAGTTGGATGTTTTCCCCTTTTTACAAATGCTGTCCTCCAGGACTGAGACCCAGACTGACCCATGCTTATATCAATCTGTCACAGAATGTCATGGGATTGAAATAAAATCTGTGAAAGTCCTTCTGCCATCTCTCTTCCCTTTTTGGAGTTGGGAAGGCTGATGGGGGCGTTATTCTCCAAGTTGTGTCAGAAGGAATGTAAACTTGTAATCAGAAGATCTAGATTGGCTCTGCTGTTTCCAGAGGAATGGACTTGGCCAGGGCCCTTGATTTCTCACAGCCTCAGTTTTTTTGTCTATAAAATGGAGCTAAAATATATAAACTGTCTAAGGTTTGTTGTCAGGACCTAATTAATTAGAGCTTAGGTTTGCAATTACTTTGTAAACTGTAAAGTGTGATACAAGAGTTTATTACTGTGAATTGATAATTTTAAAGTATGACTTTAAAAATGACATATTTTTAAAATTTAAAGAAGCTTCCTGCTACTTCCCAGTGATATGGCAGAGTGGTGGCAGCAGTGGTGACAGGGATACGTGTTGGAGATGGGAATGGATGATGGGGAAGCCGTCGCATGTGCTTTCATTCATCCAACGGAATTTATCGGGTTCTGTGCAGGGAGCATTTTACAAAAATTCGTTGAGTGAATTATGAGCAGATAAAACATTCACCTGGGTTCCCAGATCTGAAAGTTTGACATAGTAGTCAGTCGAGTTTCTCTCCCACTTCTGGCACTCATCCACCCAGTTCTCACCCGCCCTTCAAACAGGTCGCTGCTGTTATTAGGTTCTTATAACCGTTTAAGGTGTATTTTTATCCAACAAATAATTCAAACGTGTTATTTACCATCTTCTTTGACACAAATGGCAGCACATTATACACACTTCGCTATCCCTTGCTTTATTCACAAGAAAATATTGAAAATCTTTCCGTATCAATGCATATAAAGCTGCCTTAAATGGCTGTATAGTATTCCATTGTATGGATGTGTCCCAATATATTTACGTCCGCTATTGATAGGTAGGTTGTTTCCACTATGTTGCTATTACGGAGAGTGCCGACACATATGACGTTAAACATACGTCATTTTGTGGGATTGCTGAGTCTAATCTTTAGCAAATATTTATTGAGTGCCTACTGTGAGGCGGCTACTGTGTTAGACACCAGAGTTTCAATGTTGAGCAAAATACATAGTCCTTGACCCATAAAGCTGATAGTCCTAGTATTGGGGATTGACACAATCAAAAGGCTACATTAATGACTTTATAATTTTAAATAGAAATAAAAAATCTAAAGAAAGAGAAAGGAAGTAATCAGGGAGTCTGACCTA